CTGGAATGCCATCACCTCCACTGGCCTTGTTGTTAGAAGTGCTTTCTAAGGCCCACTTGACCTCACTCTCCAGGATGTCTGGCTCAAGGTCAGCAACCACACTATCTGGGTTGTCCGGGACATCAAGATCTTTCTGGTATAATTCCTCTGTGTATTCTTGCCACCTGTTCTTGATGTCTTCTGCTTCTGTTAGGTCCCTACCATTTTTGTCCTTTATCATGTCCATCTTTGTACAAAATGTTCCTTCAGTAGCTCCACTTTTCTTGAACAGATCTCTGTTTTTTCTTTCTTTCTATTATTTTCCTCTGTTTCTTTGCACTGTTCATTTAATAAGGCCCTCTTGTCTCTCCTTGCTATTCTTTGGAAGTCAGCATTCAATTTTCTGTAACTTTCCCTATCTCCCTTGAATTTTGTTTCCTTTCTCTTCTCTGCTATTTGTAAGGCGTCGTTGGAGCACCACTTTGCTTTCTTGCATCTCCTTTTCTTTGGGATGGTTTTTATTGCTACCTTTTGTTTCTGTCCATGGATTTTCTTGGCAGAGATATTGGAGTGGCTTGCCCGTTCCTGCTCCAGGTGGATCACATTTAGTCAGAACTCTCCACTATGACCTGTCTGTCTTGGGTGTCCCTGCATGGCATTGCCCATCGGTTATCTGAATTACTCAAGCCCCTTTGCCATGACAAGGCAGCAATCCATGACGGGGTTGTGGCTTTACATTTTGGCTATTCAGGATTCCCTGTCTCCTGAGGCAGTGTCAACATATTGAGATTAGGAATGGTGGAGGGACGAAGCATATGGTCTTGGTTCCTTCCACATTCTGCAGTAAAGTCTTTTCTGGTGAATGTCTGAAAAAGGTGAGAGGGTTGCTATGTTGTTGCTATTTCATTGCTCTTGCCTTAGTTTTCCTTTTAGTTAAGGAGAGAATATAGTTATTATTGCTCCCCCAATTGTAATGTATGTAATTTTTTTCTGTTCCATTCGCTCAAGCTGTGGTGCAAAGGCAAAAGGCAGTGTTTATCCCCAGGCTGGGCAACTATGTGGGCCGTGGAATGCATGTAGCCCCAAGTCCATTTATGTAGCCCTCTAACACTCCCCATACCACCATTTAAAAGTTGTTTTTTGTGTGTGTGCAGTCTGGAATTTTGTTGTATTTTGAGGGACTCTCAGTACTCCCGCTCCTGATACCGCCACACGGTATGTGGATTGTGAGAGTTACATGGCCAAAATACTTGTAAGGCCACAATTGTCCTTCCCTAATTTAAACCAATCTCCTTGCTAAAGTAATATTATGCTACCAGCAGGATTATTAGAGTTTAGGGTACTGCTTGAGTCCTGCTCTTTGACTAATGTGTCTGCTGCTCCTGAAGTGCTGTGACTCAGACCATTTGTTATGCAGAGAGTTTTACACTGCTCTGTCTTCAGAATTGTGTAGTATCCTAAAGTTTTCTGGCAAGCTTGAATGGAATATAGTAGCCTGTGGGCCAGATGTGGCTGACAGGAATTCTTTGTTTGGCCCACAACCTTCTACTGCGATCTCTGGTCATCACTAGGAGACTTGTATTTCAGCATTCAGTACTGTGTGTGGAATTGGGCTGTGCTGAAAAGATAGGAAGAGCAGTTACACTGGAGCTTTCCTCAGAGGAGACAGATTCAAAATTGTATGCTTTACAGAAAATGGGTCAAATGGGGAAAAATTGCATCTGTCCCCTTCTACTTTGCTTTGGCCTTGGCATCTCTTCTCAAATTGGAATTTATACCTTTACTGAAAACAATTTCCTGAACTCTGGAGTATAGGATTGTGCTGGCAGTCATCACTAACTATTACTGGATTGTGCCTTCGAGTTTAACATTTTAAACAAATTAGCAGCGACTTGTCTTATTATGGTACTGCTGTAGGTTGAAAACCTGTTCTTGTCAAAAAAGTTTTTTCATTTATATTAAAGTACAGGACACCTATTGTTCCAAGCCTAGTTATTTCTTTGCCAAAGGTTTTCTGATTGTAGGGTATGAAATTTTCTGATTGTAAGGTATGATTTGCTGTCCTTTCATACATATATTCTTATATCCTTAACTTTTACGAATTATGTGGTGTGTGTTTTTCCCCACCCCGCCAGATCCATGTTAGGACTTTGTATTTGCAAACAATTTATATTTCAAATCACCTCTGACAAAATTATTTTTGGAAAGTCAATAATTGTACCAATAATTATTCTCTATAGTCTCTGACTCACACCTATGGGTTTTTCTGTACCGAAAATTATCTTTAGAGTCAGTCATTATAACAATATTATTTATTATTTAGCAATTTGCTCCATTCAACAATACATATTTAATTAATAGAAATAAAGGCCATGTTTTCCTTTGAAGTAATTCTCCCCCTTTTTCAATATATCTTTATAGATCATTTAAAAATAATATTTTTTCCCTCCGGTCATCCTCTCTCTGCACTGATACTCTTTCTATTTCACTGTATTAAGGGGAGGAACCTTAAGCTGTGTAGACTGAGACGAGATTTCACCCAAAGACCCCTTCTTTAACACATCTTTGGCTTTTTCTCTATGACAGGTATCACCCACGTGTACTTTACATTGACATAGATATTCATCATGGAGATGGTGTTCAAGAGGCTTTTTACTTGACAGACCGTGTCATGACAGTGTCTTTTCACAAATATGGGAACTACTTCTTCCCAGGCACAGGTAGGAAATCTTTGCATTGCTACTTATGACCTGGAGCAAAGATTGATTGCAGGATCTTCAGAGCTGACAAAAGAATCAATGTTAAGTGCAGTTTTGAGCACCAGCTGAGCACTTTACTAATGGGATAAACATACTGGAGTGATAGTTTTTCAATAGTTAGCTGGAACTGAGAGAATTTCTTCAGGTTGTGGGTGAGACCGACTTGACAGAGACTGGGATTGTGCCTTTTAAAAAGAAACAATGAGTCTGCACGTTGTCTTCTCTCCACTGCCAGGTGACATGTATGAAGTTGGAGCTGAGAGTGGCCGCTATTACTGTCTGAACGTACCTTTGCGTGATGGCATTGATGACCAAAGTGAGTGGAAGGTTTCCCTTTAGCATTGCAGTTTCCGTGCACGGTGTGGAAAAGGCTGCATAACATCAGTGCTGTGTCCTCTCTTTTGAAGGTTACAAACATCTTTTCCAACCAGTCATCAATCAAGTAGTAGAATTTTATCAGCCCACATGTATAGTGCTTCAGGTAAGATAATGAAGCATTTAAGCTAAAACATTTGTTGATGGGTATTATTATTATTATTATCAACATTATTTTTTGTGGCATTTGGATGAATTCCTGGGTTTCTCATTTCTCTTTGTCCCCCCCCCAAAAAAAAACAGTGCGGTGCCGACTCCTTAGGATGTGATCGTCTGGGTTGCTTTAACCTTAGTATAAGAGGACATGGGTAAGTCCATCTAACAAGTTGATAGCAGTAAAAAGGAGAAGTTAGGACCCCAACAGTTGTGACTAGATTTTTCAGTCTTTTAAAGCATCTATGGGAGGGTGTGTGTTCTTCCCATATTTTTTACTCATATCTGAGTTGTTCGTCTCTGATTTCTTTTACGTGTGTGTTGTATTTGGAGGCTAAGCAGAGAGATTTTGAAGAGTTTAAGTTTGGCTCTGTGCTACATCAAGTCTTAATATCAGTCTCTTAGAAATTTTATTTATTTATTTATTCATTCATTTATTCATTCATTCTATTTATATCCTGCCTATCTGGTCAGTATGACCACTCTAGGCGGCTGTGCCAAGCCTTTGAATTCTTATGACTTAATCTTACTTAAATGATTCAAGAAACCTTTACCACCACCCTTCCAAAGTTAATTTAAAGCCTTAAATGTATTTGGATTGCAACTTTTATGTCCTCCAAGAGCATTTCAGGTAATGGTTCATAACCTGCCACATTCCATTTGGAACCTTGATCTGTGCATATCACATGTAGGAATGCAGGTGGTCATGTGATCTATTCATAGAAACAAAGTCCAAGGTGAAGAAATAACTTTATTGGATAAGAAGTAATAAATAAGCTGAATCTTTAAATTCTTCAGAACTTTTTTTCAGGCAAAGATGGCCTAAAACTTGGAATTACTTTACATTGTTCAAAAATTATGACACCCATATTATATGAAGCCAATAAAATGCAACTTAGTTTCCACATGAGGCCAAGATGTCAGAGATATAAGTTTACATGTGTTCTACAGACAAAAGGCTGGCTTCCTCTCCCTCTCTCCCACCCCGCCAGCTCCCAGTCTGCCACGTGCCTTAGGTGAGGTCATGTAGACCTCGTCTAAAAGCCACATTCATTCTTGTAGATGACTAAGCCATTTTGAAAGCAATTCATATCTGAATGCTATGTCTTTGGATCCTAGGGAGTGTGTGGAATATGTTAAAAGTTTCAACATTCCCCTTCTGGTATTAGGAGGAGGTGGCTACACAGTTCGCAACGTGGCCCGATGCTGGTGAGTTCTCAATGTTTGGTGTGTAGCATATGCATTTTATTGAAGATAGATTAGTATAAGTTGCACAGATTTCTCTAATGTTAAGATATCGACACACTTTCTGATGAACTGGTCTGTGTCTCCTTTCAGGACTTATGAAACATCATTGCTTGTAGATGAAGCAATTAGTGAAGAGCTACCATACAGTGGTAAGTCAGGGAACTATAGGTATATATAGTGATACTTGCTGCTTTTGTGTCCTATCTGAAAATTTATTATCGCATTGCATAAATATAAAATAATAGATACTGATAACTTGGGCACTGGTTGCAGTCTCAGAGATTAGGAGTTTGAGAAAAAGAGCCAGTCTATGTAGCTATGGGCAGAAGAACTTGTGAGTTACCTGCATCAGGACCTGGAAGAAGGTGGACACTTGGGGATATTCAGGGAGAGGAGATGTGATGGCTGGAGAGGTCAAGATCCTGCCCCTGATAGGAGAGAGACCCATGATGGCCCCTCTGAGCACGGGGAGCTGTGGTCTGTGGTCAGTAAATCAAGAGCTCCAAGGCCAAAATGTTTGATAACCACTGCTCTATATCTAGAAAAATCTGGCAAGAGCCAGTGAGCTGTAATCAACTTGATAATGTGTTTTTTATTATTAATAACATATGATAAAGATAAAAATTAAGTATTTTGAAAATCAATGAACAGTATCATTTATATGATTTGTAGCAGAGGTGGCCAGAGTTCCAGGGGCTGCAGACACTGTCCCCCCAAAAGATTTTCTTCAAAAAGCTTTTTCACTGAAAAACTCCCAAAGGTTGTCCTCACATCCATTACAAAGCACAAGGGAACATTATGAGATTTTGTTTTAAATTAAAGACAATGGGGTGGAGAAGCAGTGGTAGTAGTGGTGGGGGCTGGATATATTTTGCTCACCCCACTGTAGCAATAATTGTTCAGTGAACTTAAATACTGCAATTTAAACAATAATGGTTCTTCTTACTAACTTCTTCTCAAGCCTTGTCTCCCCTTCTTGTGTAGTCAGTTACTGCATAGACATTTAGCATAGTTTGTGATGGCTTTCTTCTCTTTGTAAAGGTGTGTGAACATAATATCAGTGTCCTTGACCAGAACCCTATTTTTAAAAAACATATACAGTGGTGCCTCGCACAGCGAGGTTAATCCGTTCTGGATTAACCCTCGCTGTGTGAAAGCATCGCTGTACGGGAAGGAAAAAGCCATTGGAATGCATTAAACTTAGTTTAATGTGTTCCAATAGCAGCTTTACTCACCGTACAGCGATGCTTTTCCAATGGCTGGCAGCCATTTTCGCGCCCTCCCCTCGCTTAATGAGGGCGTGAAAACGCTGTGCGCGGCCATTTTGGGGCTTCCGGCAGCCATTTTAAGGCTTCCGGCGGCCATTTTGGACCCGCCAAACAGCTGATCGGTGGGTCGCAAAGCGAAGGTCGGTAAGCGAAACGCTTACCGACCTTCGCTGTGCAATTTTCGGCCATAGAGGCCATCACTCTGCAATCGCATTAGCGATCGAAAAAACGTCCTCGTAGAGCGAATTCATCGCTCTATGGGGTGCTCGTTGTGCGAGGCACCACTGTACACAACGGTAGTCATATCGATGGTTGGGACCCTTCAGCATCCAACAGGCAGAGAGGGCACAAAGCATTTCTGCAACTACTGTTGTGCCCATTGTTTTTTCCAATAAGATTCAGACCAATGTATTTATCCATTCTCTCTCTCTTTTGTACAGAATACTTTGAATACTTCGCTCCAGACTTCACTCTCCACCCTGATGTCAGCACTCGAATTGAAAATCAGAACTCAAGACAGGTTGGTATCTCTGGACTTATCTGATCCATGTAACTCATCTGTCTGGTCAATATGACAATATGCACTATTGATGTCTGTGATTCCCTCCACTCTGTTTCATCAGAAAGAGAAGTTCTACACTGCTAGCATTTGTGGTAAGAAAGGTGGTGGAAACCTGTTAAACCTTTTAGTACTTTATAACACAATTTTGCTTTCTTCCTCTCTCTTTTGACCAGTACTTAGATCAAATCCGTCAGACTATATTTGAGAACTTGAAGATGCTGAATCATGCACCCAGTGTTCAGATTCATGATGTCCCTTCTGATCTGTTGAGCTATGATCGCACAGATGAGCCAGATCCGGAAGAAAGAGGTTCAGAGGATAACTACAGCAGGCATGTTTCCTGACCTCAAGTGACACTGCCCATTTTTTTCTGTCTCAATCCAATGAGAGTAGTGTAGTTAATCCCTAGGTTGTGGTCCAGATTGAGATTCTCTAATCAAGAGATCAGGGTCCTTACCAAAAGATGCTCCCTGCATTTCTGGAAAGAAAGGAGGCACACAGAACAAGCTTCCCTTTCATCAGTGCCATAGTGGTGAATGGGGAGCTGTTCTGGCTGCATAAGTATGTGTATGGTGACTGAGAGTGGACATCTCCCTCCACTTTGGACTCTGACTACATCTTCTTCTGGCATTTATGCCATGTGTCTTAGAAGACTATTTTTCCTTTGGAGCAAAAAAGATTTCCTGACACTAAATTAGAGGAACTTTGCCACATGCTTCTTAGAACCAGAACTGTGTGGACTGTGCCTTTGTTGCATGAGTACTGTTTCTCAAGTCATGGTTGTATTTTTAGAAATTAAGTTTCATGTCTGTGCTTAATTCTGGACTACAGTCACTGTTCCCCATTGTCTCCTCATACCTTTGTTTACTTGTCTTGCAGGCCAGAACCTTCCAATGAATTCTATGATGGTGACCATGACAATGATAAAGAAAGTGATGTGGAAATATGATCTGTGGAGATATGGCTCACATTTGTATTGTGTATTCACATCCTGGATGGTGGCACTTGAAGAAAGTGACAGGGTCCAGTCAGAAAGCCCTGTCCTTCCCACCTATGGCTTTAAATGGTGGCAGCAGGACTGCTGAGACATAAGTTATTTGGATGCAAATGGCAATGGGAGATTCCCCACCACCACCTCATCCTCAAGAAGACCGTCCTGCCAACTCCATTTGTGGAAGTAGTCACTCACAGTTTCAGATACACAAAAGACCATTTTGCTGCTTTGTGATCATGTTCAGGTCTTATTCTGCAGGGACTTTGTCCCTTTTTAGAGAGGCACCAGTCTTCATAAAAGGACAATAAGTACTACTGCACTTCGGAAATTTCTTCTGATTTGTTTTGATACGTATTTGTGTGTAACTGAAAAGCTACAGTGAAAAGGTCTTTAGTTTACCAGGCTGCCTGCCAGTCATTTAGTATCCCTGTTGTAGTAATTCAGATAAAAGGAAGAACCACATAATTGTTGATCAATATTTTTCTGAAATGTACTAAAGGGGGGAGGGACAAATTGAGGTCCAATCTGACAGTGCAAGTTCTCCGTCCACTGGTTCTTACAGCATTAGTTCTCCAAATAAGGGTATGTTCATACCATTCTATTTGGATGGGTATTTTGAGAGGGAGAAAGTTGGAGTTTTCTTTCTCAGTCTTTCTGCTTGGTCACTGTACCAGTAGGTTACCAAAAACTCAAGTCAACGAAGAATTTATTTCTGCATGACTTTAGCAAACTTTCATGACTTCCATAGTCGAGCACCTATTGTTAGCTCAGTACACTTACCATAGAAACTCTGTGCAGGCCTTTATCTTTTTTCCTGCTGAGGCAGGTTACTTCTCAGTAGAATGCTGCCTTGATTTTGGGGAGAGATCTGGGCCTACCTTTTTTTAATTGTTCAGTATCTCCCTATTGTTGAGATTCTTTAATCTCCAAATGTCTTGCTTATATAATATATAATGAATTCTGCCTTCTGAGCATGGTGCTTGTATGTTGGCTTGGATCTTAAGATAATCTAAGGAAATGCATGGAAAGAAAACTTCCCATTCCATGAGACAAAAAGGATGCTTTATCCATGGAGAGGCTTTACAATGTCAGGAGGTGGGGGGAAAGTTGAGAGGATTGGAAACATGCCTTCCATTACCATAAATTAAGTTCCAAAGCAGAATTTGGAAGATTTCTTTGGTTTAACCACAAGTTCTGCTTCTCCTTTGGCTCCATAACTACTGATGGCAAGTGGACCTCATTTTTGCTGTGGTTTTAAATTTTGTGCTGGGAATACTTGTCAATTTTGTCAAGACTTCAGTGCAGATGAAATGACAGAACAGCACTTGACTTTCTCTTCCTTATACTCATTCCCTCAACCAGTGTTAAAAAATATTAAACAATGGGATAGTATTTTTCTTACCCAACTTGTGTCTTTTCTATTTTTATGCCTCTGCCCCCTTTCTTAATAGTTGGAGCTCAGAAGTACCTCCTTTAGTTCTGAAAGCACTTGTTGATTTCTGCACTTCCTGTTCTAGCAGTACTTGTTTACGAGCCCTGTGAAGCCACTTTAACCTGTACAACTCTTAAAACAAAACAAGGAATATCTGTCTGTAGTTTAAGAAATACCTCCCCCCAATTTTTTTTTAGTTACAAAGGAAATTTTATGTCAGTTATGTCCTGCTATATGTTGACTGTTGGAATACAGTCTGAATTGAAACTTTTATTTGGTACACAAACTTCTAATTGAAAATTTAGTTAATGTTGTTGCCTTTTAATGACATAATTTGTTAATTATAGATAATACAGTGGTGCCTCGCTTAACGAGCGCACCGTTTAACGATGAATCCGCATAGCGACACGTTTTATGCGATCGCATTGCGATGTTTTAGGTGGCAAAACATCGCATTGCGATGTTTAGAAAACAGCTGATCGGCGGTTCCAAAATGGCTGCCCGCAGCGTTTTCATGCCCTGCCATCGCTTACCAGGCAGCGAAAATGGCGGCCGGATGGAGGATTCCCCGCATAGCAGTGAGTTTTTCCCCAATAGGAACGCATTAAAAGTGTTTTAATGCGTTCCTATGGGCAAGGGTTCCCTTGGGTGCCCCCCCCCCCCCGCATAGCGCCGAATCCGGATTATCATCACTATGCGGGGCACCACTGTACAAGGAACTGAATTCTACCCCTCCCAATATTAAAAACAGCAACTATCAGCATTAATGGATTGATTTTTAAGCCTAAAATCCCAAGATGCTACTTGCAAGCAGCAGAAAACATTGCAGAAATACCCGTCTGCCTTAGTGTGCCTCCTACTCTGCCCTTCAGTGGACTGTTGCAGGGCTTCTGTAAGCTTCTCATCCTTCACCTATAAGACAAATATAAGGAATTGTATTGGCATTATAGGAAGATCCATTAGGAACAGAAGCAGGAGGGGGAGAGAAACTGAAAATAGCTGAAAGCACCTAGGATTCTGACTGAGCAGGTTTGGCTCCATCCTTCCACAGGTAATACAGTGGTGCCTCGCTTAATGGGCGCTCCGTTTAGCAACGAAACCGCATACCGACGAACTGTTTGCGATTGCAAAAGCGATCGCTTTGCAATGTTTCCTATGGTGTGTGTGTTTTTTTTTTTTTTTTTTTTTTTTTTTTTCGTTTTCTGTTTTCCTTTACTTACTGATCATCGCAAAGCGATGATTTTTTAACAGCTGATTGGCGGTTCCAAAATGGCTGCCAGGTAAACAAAATGGCCACCCACTGTGTTTTTGTGCTGATTCCTCGCTTTAAAGGCAGTGAAAATGGCCGCCGTATGGAGGCTCTTCGCTTAAAGGTTAGTTTCCAGCCCATAGGAACACATTGAAGGGGTTTCAATGCATTTCTATGGGCTTTTTAATATCGCATAGCGACGAAATCGCTTTGCAGCGATTTTTGCTGCACGGATTAATGTCACTATGTGAGGCACCACTGTATTTCAGATCCCTCACACAGAAGCAGTGCCTGTGAGTGTGCATAGTATATGCACAAAATGCAGCGCTAAGTGTGCACTTAACATCATACTTGGAGTTGCAGGAGGAGTCACGTCAGGAGGACAGAATCCATTATAAGCCTGGACTCTTAGCAGAGTCATCCAAGGCAGAATGGCCATAGCTGAGATACCAGACTAAAAGGCATCCACCATCATCATGGCAGTAATTGTGCAACAGTGATAGCTGAAAGTGACACTGGAGGAAGCAAAGAGGTGACAATTAAGTTAACTTTTCTTAGTACAGTATTGTGCAGAATGTGTAATGCTAAACCCCTACTGAACTTTCCTTACCATGAAAAAACCTTATGATGAGACAGTTCAAAATGAAACAAGAGTGCTGGAAGATGAGGCTCCCAGGTCAAAAAGCACACCATCAGCTCCTGGGGAAGGGCAAAGGACAAGTACTCTGTTGCAAATGGTGCAACTAGATTAAAACCAAAAAGACATCTAGTGGCTGATGAGCACAGAAGTGAAGGGAAAAGTTGAAGTTGTACGATCCATGCAATTAGAACATGGAATGTAAGAAATATGAATCAAGGTAAACTGGAAATTGTAAAGTAAGGAATGACACATATAAACATTATCATGAGTGGTGTCAGCAAACTAAAGAGGACTGTAATTGGACATTTTCAGTCAGACAACTACAAACTTCTATTCTGGAAGTGAGAATATCAGAAGAAATTGAGTGGCTTTAATACTGAGGGAAGATCTAGCACAGGCAGATGGGGCTATACTGCAAGATCTGACCAAATAATACCATATCCATGGAAAACCTATCAACATAACCATCATTAAAGTCTATACTCCAACTACCAATATTGAAGAAGATGATATAAATATCTGAAGATTTTCAGTCATCCGGGTGATGTTATCTGGAATTTGAGTCATGGCAACTGGACTTCTTATTAGGTTGAAACGTTTCACTACTCATCCAAGTAGCTTTTCCAGTCTGAGGAGGGTTGGTAGGGGATCCTGTATATCTTCCATGTCGTTAACAGTGGTCTTTCTGGTGTGCTCATCGCTCAGCGAGGCACTCGTTAAGCGAGGCACCACTGTAATACCATATCCATGGAAAACCTATCAACATAACCATCATTACTCAAACTACCAATATTGAAGAAGATGATATTATAAATATCTGTGAAGATTTTCAGTCATCCGGGTGAGGTTATCATGGCAACTGGACTTCTTATTAGGTTGAAACGTTTCACTATTCATCCAAAAACTCATAAAGTTCTGCGAAGCCAGGAATCTGTTTATTGCAAATATGTTGTTCAAACAACCAAAAGGCAGCTGTACATGTAGATATCACCTGATGGTCAATATAGAAACCAAATAGATTACATAATTGGAAGCAGGAGATTGAAAAGTTGTATTCACTTAACCAAAACAAGCCCAGGAGTGGACTGTAGCACTAATGATGAACTGTTCGTATCCAACATTAGAGTAAAGCTGAAAAAGAACACAAGTAATGCAGTGCCAAAATAAAATTCAAACAACATTCTTGATGAATTTAAAAACTATGCAAGTAACAGATTTAAATTACTAAACTCAATTGACCATAATTCAGTGGATTAAAACCAGAGATATTATTAGGGAAGAATTAAAAAAGACAATTCCTGTAGACTACAGCAGGTGCCTTTTATCCCCTTATCTGTTCAGTCTGTACACAGAACATATACCGTACACACTATACTCGAGTATAAGCCGACCTGAATATAAGCTGAGGCACCCAATGTTACCACAAAAAACTGGGAAAACTTACTGACTCGAGTATAAGCCAAGTGTGGAAGACTGCAGTTGAATATCAAAAGGAACAAAATCATGACAGAGGAGATACAGAACTTTGTCACAAGCAATTAGAAAGCACTGTTCCCCTACAGTGGACCCTCGACTTACAGACAGCTCAACTTACAGACTTTTCGAGTTACAGACTTCTCTGGCCACAAAATTTAGGTTTGACTTGCAGCCGGAGAATTGTCCTACAGACCGGAAAAAAAAAAACCCAAAATGGAACAAAAACAGCCAGTTACGGATTAATCGGTTTTCAATGCATTGCATTGTAGGTCAATGGAGCCTCGACCTACAGACTTTTCGACCTGCAGCCACCGTTCCAATATGAATTAATTCCGTAAGTCGAGGGTCTACTATAACATGGTTCAATCATTAATCCAAATGGAGACTGCAGCCAAGAAATTAGAAGACTTCCAAAAAGACTTGGAAGGGTAATAGTGAAGGAATCAGAAAGATAATCAAGTTTGTGTCACTGAAGTCAAAAGCCAAGATCATCCATACTACAGTGGTGCCTCACTAGACAGTTAGCCCGCATGACAGTTTTTTCGCTAGACATTGGCTTTTTGCAATCGCTATAGCGATTCGCAAAACAGTGATTCCTATGGGGAGTTTCGCTGGACAACGTTTGGTCCCTGCTTCGCAAACCAATTTTTGCTAGATGACGATTTTGACACCTCCCTCCGTGCTCGCAAACAGGTGTTTTCGGGACCTAAGCTTCGCAAGACAGCAATTTAAACAGCTGATTGGCAGTTCGCAAAGCGGCTTTCCTATGGCCGATCTTCGCTAGACAACAACGATTCTTCCCCATTGGAACACATTAAACAGGTTTCAATGCACTCCAACGGGGAAATGCTTTTCGCTAGACAATGATTTCGCTAAACAGCTATTTCAGTGGAACAGATTATCATAGTCTAGCGAGGCACCACTGTATTGTATTTCCTACCACCATATATTGGTTTGAAGGCTGGATAGTAAAAAAAGCTGACAGGAAAAAAATGATTCATTTGAAATGTGGTGCTGGAGGAGAGCGTTGCCAATACCCTGGACTGCCAGAAAGATGAACAAGAGGGCCTTAGATCAAATCAAGCATGAAGTATCTCTGAAGGCAATAATGTCCTACTTTGGACACTTAATGAGAAATTAAGATTCTCTGGAAAAGACAATGTTGAGAAAAACTGAAGACAGCAGGAAAAGAGGAAGACCAAATATGAGGTGGATTGACTCCCTAATCGACCCACAGGCTTGAGTTCGCAAGAGCTGAACAGGGCTGTTGATGACAGGACATTTTGGAGATAGCTCATTAATGGGGTTGCTGTAGATCCAGATATTGGGAGTTAAGATTCACACTATGCATTTCCAGAAGAGACAGCCTGTGCAACCCTGGGCAAGCTGCACAGTTCCGGGGAACCCCCAGAAGAACCAGATGATAAATCATGTCTGAGTATTCTCTATCTGGAAAACTCTAAAAATGGTCTCCATAAGTCAGAATTGACCTGACAGCACACATTATTATTCACATTACAATTAGCAAATGTTAATTTTTTGGGATGCTAAAAATTGTAACGGAAAACCACTAAGTTACAAAGGTCAAGAATTACCTTCTGAGGCATCCATATGTTTTAGTTTTAGTGCAGATCTTGGTGCCCATTCTCAGTAAAAATTCTGTTTTCCTCTGGTGCTCATCATGAATAACCCCTGCTTCCCTGTCTAGATTTCCTAAAAAATGGATTGAATCCAAATCCACAAGTATTTTATAACAGTGACAATACTACTATTCTGTGTGTTCTTTACCCCTGTGACCAGACACGATGCCTCCCATCTATTTTATTATTTTTGCCTTTAAAGTAGTATCACCCTATGGTGGGGGATGACAAGGATGGCAATACAAAAGACAAAACGTCTGGAAGACGCCAGTATGGGGAAGGCTGTGTGTGCAGCTTGTATTCTGCTTCTAAAGTTGTCAGTCAGCCACCTGAGGACCACGGATAAAGTCACATTAGAGTTTCATGCCTTGCTCAACTTCAGATCGACGAGGGTCACTAGTTCTTTGGTTTCCTTTTTGCCCATACAAAAAGAAAGGAGAAATCCGGGATTTGGGAGACGATTGGGCAGCGGCGGCACACGGAAGCAACAGGAGAGTTGAGGCTACCTGTGCTTTCTCCAGTCAGGTCTTTATTTGTCTGCAAAGTTCTTCCCAAAAAACGTTGTTGTCGTTTAAGAAGTGCACGTTTTCAAGCAAGCCAGCAGATCCCAAGGCATCCGAAAGCAAGCGAGCAGGGGATCTGGGCTGGCACCGGGATGTCCTTGACGAGGGAAATTTTTGGTTGGAAACTCTGAACTGGTGCTGTCTTAGAAGGGGATCCCATCTCCCCGGCCTCTCGCTCCAGTTCTCAAAGAAGGAAAACATGTGACAAGGCAATTAACAGGCAGAGAAATGCCCATTCTCCCCTTTTTCCCCCCTGGGACCCGCTGCCTAGTCACAATTACACGAAAACCCTCCAATTCTCCTTTTTCGTTTTAAAGGCATCTCTCACTCTCTCTCTCCCCCCCCCCCCCGGGGAAAGAAAAAAAGAGACTAGGAAACCGCACGCCGGTGCGCCTGGAATGCTCTTCTACCAGTTTACTAGCTCTACGGCGAAGGGACCTGTTTAAACCATAGACGCGAGAGGCGAACCACCTCGTTCTGGTTCCCGGGAGCTCGCTTTGCGGCGTGCAGTGACGACAGCGCGATGGGCGTGGCGCCCGAAGGCGGGCGTGGATTCCGAATGAGCCATCGAGCGCACGCAAGCCGAGGAGGCGGTAGTTGCAGGCAGGCGCTGCTGCCGGGCCACCTGGGAGGCGGTAGCGGCGGCGGCGGCGGCGGCGGCGGCGGCGGCGTTGTTTCTGAGCGGAGCCCGCCGTTGGCGCTGCTCCTGGTCGTG